TGATGCTTTTGAGTTGTGGTGCTGGCGAAGAATGCTGAAAGTACCATGGACTGCTAAAAGAACTAACAGATCTGTCCTGGAGGAAGTGCAGCTGAAATGCTCCTTGGAAGCTAGAGTGGCCAGACTTCATCTCACCTACTTTGATCATGTTGTCAGAAGGGACCATTCCCTGGAGAAGGATGTCATGCTTGGTAAGTTGGAGGGTCAACAAAAGAGGGGAAGGCCTTCAACGAGATGGATTGACACAGTGGCTGCAATGATGGGCTCAAGTATAGCGAGGATCATGGAGCTGGTGCGGGATCGGGCAGTGTTTCGTTCTGCTGTGCATGGGGTCACTATGAGTCAGAAATGACTCGACAGCACCTAACAACAACAACAACAACATGATCATTTCAGTTTCCTCTTCTCCTTCATTAAAATACTCATATTCCTCACTTGTTAACTATTTCATTATCTGACATTTTACATTTACAACAATAGTAAAAAAAAGAAAAAAAAAATCTGTTTTCTGACTAATATATGCATTAACGAGCTGAGGTGGGAGAGTTTTGTGAAAGGAAGTGAGGCCATTCTAGCTGTCCGTGGTTCATATAACCTGGGTCAGGCAGAGGAATTGTGCTGGGCCTCAGTGAGCTACTACAGATGGGCATACAAGAGGCAAGGTTGGCCAGTCCACAAGGAGGCACTGGCAGCCAGGGCTACAGAGAGGCTTTGAGTGTCTCTTTTTCCAAAGAGGCCTCCCTGCCACCTCTGGAGCCTCTACAAGGGCCAGGTGGCTGGACCTCACATGTCTACAGGCCTGGGAACCACCTGCCACCAAGGCCCTTCTCTGAGCTGGCAGAGTAGGAGGGTAGAGAGGCGAGGCACCGGAGTCCATGTAGAGGCCAGGAGCATGGCAAAGTGATTATGGGCCCTGGCTGCTCCAGAGGTAACAGGCAACCCCCGACTACCACCACCAACAACCCCTGTGGGCTCTGCAGTTTGGGCAAGAGGGGTCTACTGCACCATGCACATCCCAACATGCACCTTGGTCACCTGGGGGTTGAGCAGTGTGGGTAGGGGTTGGACACTGGCACCAAAGAGGCCTTGGCTCTTATACAACACCAGATTTTAACATAACAACCTGATCTTTGGAATCTAACCACATTGATAATTGAGAGTGAGTATACACATTATCTGTTCTTATCAGTAGTGTCTATACATTTACATGTTCTTAGGCTATAACAACAGTATTTCCTGTGGCCTTCTAGCTTCTCCCTTTATCTTGGCTTTGCAATCATTAATAAACTCCGCTAGCCATTAACCTAATAGGCCTGTATGAGTCTTTGTGGTGGTTACGTTGTGTGTCAACTTGGCTGGGCCTGATTGAGTGGCTGGTCAGCTGGTGGTAGTTACTCCCCATGTGAGACTGGCAATCAGCTCCATGGTGGGAGCTGAGTAGCTGCTTTAGGGATGTGGTCTGTTTCCTATGTATAAGAAAGAGCTTTGGGAATGGTCTCTAGCTCATGGCACACTGTAACCCTGCATGTACCCATGTTGTTGTTCAGTAACCTGGCATGCTCTGCCAACCTTGGGACTTTAATTGGACTTCAATCAATGGCCTACCATGTGGTTTGGTAACATAGGGACTGTGCCTTTTTACTTGTCAACCTTGGGCTTGTCAGCCTCAGCAGCCAGCAGCTGTCTGAGTGAAGAAAAGCCTCTAGTTTCAGTGGGCTAGGAGTGGGAGGCAGAGCTGAAGTCCAAGTCTGAGAGGCTTCACCCAGCCCCTAGAGCCTGGCACCTTGAACTCAGACTTTTAGCCTCCCAATTGTAAGAGAATAAACTCGTGTTTGTCAAAGCCATCCCATTTGTAGTATATTCTTGTCACAGTGGTACTAGGTAACCAGAATAGTCTTGTTCTCCAATTACATTTTCAGATAAGTTTAACCAAATGAGAATGGTAGATCGAAAGTTATGTTCTCTTATTTACATGTGTTAATAAAAACTTAATTTGGTTTTTTGTGACCATGTATTTTTGTGTATTAAGTTCTCAATGTATAAATGAATTTATTTAATTCATCTACTCTATTTTTCACATCTTAAAAGAACTTTTGTTTCTTTTGATGATTAGAATTATAAATACTCATTAAAAGAAATGTACAAATAGAAAAAAGTATAAAGGAAATTCATCAAAATGTTGTATCTGAGTCTTATAATTATTAGTGATCTTTGCCTTTTGTTTTTCCAGGCTTTAGTTAGATTTTTAAATGAGTTTTTCTCTTTGTCATGAAACAGTCTTCGGAAATATTTTTATAAGTAATTATTTTATTGTAAGTTGATACGCTATAAAAACCCTGTTTTTCTATCATTGGATATTTAGTTTCTTTTAAGTTTTTCACAATGATAAAAGTAATAGTAGTAGATAATTTTTGTACAGAAATGTTTATTTTTCTTTTAAGAAAAATTTTGAGGAGTAGAATTACTGGATTAAAAAGTTTAAAAGGCTTATGGTTTATATAAGTTAAATGAGCAAAAGATTTTTAAAATGGGTTAAATAAGAGGTTAAATATACATAAAATATTAAAAATTTTATTCTTATCCTAATAATAAACCAAAATCAAATTCACTGCCTTTGAGTCAATTCCAATTCCTAGCAACCCCCGTTGAGTTTCCAAGGTGGTAAATCTCTGTAGAGATAGACTGCCCCATCATCCTTCTGTGGAGCAGCTAGTGGGTTTGAACTATCATCCTTCTGGTTAGCAGTCAAATGCCATAGGCACTATGCCACTAGAGTTACTCCTCCAAATAATAGATATGTTGTGTTATTTTACTTTGGTTCTAATTTGCATAGTGTTTTTTATTTAAAAAAAAAAAATCCTTACCAATAATTCAGTTCCTATGTTGTTGTTGTTGTTATGTGCCAACAAGTCAGACCAGACTTAAGCAACCCCTCCTTGGGTTTCACTACAGAAGTAGATTGCTCCATCTTCCTTAGTATATTTGAAATCATAACCTGCTGCTTTTTTTCCATGAGCTCAATATGGGTCATATACATACATTTGGTTATAATGTAATGAAGAGGAAAGTTAGATTACAAACAATTTTATATTTATAATTTCTTTGGAAGGAAGAAGAAAGGGTGATAGTTACCTACTCTTTTAATAGTTTCTTACATAAAATTTACTTTAATAAAATAATAATATATTGTGTTTATATGTTGTTGTTGTTGTTATGTGCCGTCGAGTCAGCCCTGACTCATAGCGACCCCTCCTTGGGTTTCCGAGGCAATATCACTACAGAAGTAGGATTGCCCAACCTTACTTCCAAGGAGTGGCTAGTGGGTTTGAACCGCCAGCCTTCTGGTTAGCAGTCAAGTCCTTAGGCACTATGCTACCAGAGCTCCTATAGCACTTCATTATTTACAAAGCAATTTTTTGATGTAACAACCCTTTAAGACAGGCAAAGGGAGATACTCAGATCCTCAAATTACAGATGAAGAATTTCTATAAGATGCAATTAAGTTAAATGCTGTGCCTGAAGCCACAAAGCTAACAGGCAATGAAATGAAGAATAGAACTCAAATCTGGTATCTTGTTTATTCCTTGCAGGGCTGTTATTTGTTGTTTTATTTAGTTTAGAATGGGAAAATTTGAAAGTTTTTCTTCAGTAATGAGCTCTCACTCTTTTCTCTTTCTCTTTTTACCATGTAGTCGGAACCAGCTATCAACATTGCCAGTACATTTGTGCAATTTACCACTGAAAGTCTTAATTGCTAGTAATAACAAATTAGTCTCACTTCCTGAAGAAATTGGACATCTCAGACATTTGACAGAACTTGTAAGTTAATATTTTAATTTTGATTGTCTAACACATATCTGTGTATCCATAATTATACCCATACTCTTTTATATAATAAAGATCTAGTAATATAATTTTTTTTCAGTTATTTTTCAGCATTTTTATTGACTCATCAGTACCCAACTGCTTCAGTACAAAATTAAGAAAGAACTGAAAGTACAAGTCTGGTAGACCCACATGGAATGGAAAAGGCATTAGAATTATGTTAGAACCAATGTCAAGCACTTACATATTATTAAACTTTTGAAATACAAGTTAATAATGTGTTTGAATTTTTCAAATTAAGTTCTATTAATATTATCATTAATATCAATATTTTTTACTTTGGCTTAGCCCCTGTAGGGAACAGTGGGTACTTCAAATGTCAGATTTACATTTTTACACTTTATATGATATCTTTCAAATCTGTGTTCCACTTTTTATTGACATAAAATCTTTTATAACAAGCTTAATTGAACTCCTCATAAATTATAAGATATCACCTCTTGAGTACTTATGTTTGGGCATGGAAATAAAACTTTTATCATTTAGTCATCACAATAACATAAAGTTGAGTACATCTTCATTTTATAGCTGAGGACACTAACACTCAGATAAGTAATTTGCCTAACATTACATAACTTAAATAGAATTTGAAATCAGTTATGTTATCTCTAAAGCCCATGTCTTTAATAGAATTGTTTTGCACATGTTTCTGAAATGGTCAAGTATAATTAGGTCCATTGTGTGATTTTGGAGTATAGTCTCACTTAGGTTTATTAACAAAAATGAATATAATACAGAGAAAATATATATATACTTTTAATCTAGTCGGACCACAAATTAGCTTGCGTTTTTTTCCTGATAGATTCTTAATAATGAAAGGTCATGTGTAAGACTTCACAAATATATTAAATCTAGAGTCTAGATTCTAACTAACATTTTTAGAGCCAGTCAGACATAAGAAATAAAGCCCAAATGTATTTTTGTTGGCATTTCTTCAGAATTTGGCTTAATAATATGACCTAGTAGTAATTTCTTAGTTTCAAATCATTTAATCATTCTTCTTCTTCTTACTAAATTCTGAATACTTAAAAGATAGCTATATCTTGCAGATGCTACTTTTACCTTTTACAAAAGAGGTTAATTGATAGCCTTAGTCATACAGAAGGAGCCCGGGTGGTACAACGGTTAAACATTTTGCTATAAACCAAAAGATTGCACTCATAAAGATTACAGTCTAGAAAACCCTATGGGGTAGTTCTGCTCTGTCACATGGGGTCACTTGAGTCAAAATTGAATTGATGGCAACTATCAACAAGAAGTTACACAAGGAACTTGTGGCAGAGTAAGAATGAGTCCTCCTAGAACTCCTGAGTCCCACCTTACTGTCTTTCTGCACTATCCTTATTGCCTCCTTCCTTTTTCTCCTTTTATTTTTAATTGAAAGTAAATTGTTGTCTTTCAACATATATATGTATTTCTAAAATAGATACTGGAAATTTCTATTACCTTTTGGCTTAGACTCAATTTTCCTGTCCTTTCAACTTCTTTTAGAACCCTTTTCACTTTGATGGCTAGAGCATTGGACTAAGAAGTCTAGCTACTGATTCCACTTCAGTCATTAATTGGTAGGAAAAATAAAAATAGTACTATTTTCTTTAAGAATATTTTGTAAAAATTTAAAATAAGGTCTGAAGCCTATTTAAGTTTTTAGTAAGTGGTCTTTCTAAATAATAACTGTGTTAATATATTCTTTTTACTCCTATGGTAGAGTTTTAAGTGTTTTATGTGACTAACTGGAGTGTGGAGCTGCCTAGGAGGCAGCTTTCCTGTGCTTCACATGTTTACAGGTTTACAAATTATTCTGACTGATCTGATCTCAGAATTATCAGATTCTGAATGTATCAGTCTTAGAACCTGCAGATAGCCAGTTTCTTTTTAGAACCATTGGAATCAAGCTTTTAACCAAGATACCAGAAGGGCCATCTAATACAGGTACTAGAATCAAGCTGATCAGATGCTGATCAAGCAGCATGTATTTTTTTCATAGCTTTTGAGTTATGTGTACTTGATTATTTTTTCCTTAACATTTGTTTGGCAAAAAATAATTTGAATAATCTTCAATGCATTTATTTTATATTGTTGAATACTTGAACTAGTATTTTGAAAATGGGGTCCTTTCATATAATTTTATTGTTACAACTTTTGTCTTCATTTTTTCTTCTAATTTCATTAGGACAGTATTAGTAAAATTATTGTCCTAAACCTGTTTTACAACTTTTTCTATTTTACTTTCCCCCATTTTCATTCCATCCGATTTTTAATCAAATATAAGTACAAACCATAAAATTATTCTTGCACGTAAAACAATTGTTTTTTACAACTGGGAAGGACCTTAGGTATTATCTTGTCCAACTTCATTTTATAGATAGTTTAAAGCAGGCAAATCTGTAATATTATTATAATCATTCTTTACTTTGTATCCTTTTGAAATAGGATGTGAGCTGCAATGAGATTCAAACAATACCATCCCAAATTGGTAATCTGGAGGCCTTGAGAGATCTTAATGTAAGAAGAAATCACTTAGTACGTTTGCCTGAAGGTGAGCAACGGATTTTTTATTTTACTATTATTTTTCTATTTATTTTAAAGATCTCTCAGACTAACAAGCACAAGACAAAAACATGTAAGAGTTACAATCTGTTTGAGATACAATGGTTTAATAGTGTTAATCTGCTTCACTGTCAATTTTAAATTAGACCTTTCAGTAAAAAAAATCTGTTAAATATAAATCTTATTTTTGGATCTTGTCAACTGAAGTAATTCAGGTTAGTTTCACTGAACATTTTAGTAAGTTACATTTCCATTTGGTGGAAATATAACATGTTTTTGATAAAGGGATAATTCAGCATAATGAAAAACATTCCCACAGTTGGCACTGACTTAGAAATGGGCTTTGACCTGAACTTAATAACTTTACCCTTCATTGGAAATATTTATATAGAGACTAATTTAACTGTGTAGAGGTGATATTTAGAGTGAGAGACTACCCTAGGTGACTGACTAATTTAGGCTGACTTAAATGCTTTTATTTGTATTTGAATGATAAAAATTATAAACAAATTTATTAAGTATAATTTATTAATCTTTGAAAACTATGGAATGTGTGAAAGAAAAGCTATAAAAGGGAGTGGAATGGAGAGAACCATTATTTTATTGTATTCAAAGTATATATTTCTTTAGTTTTATTATGGAAAATTTCATATTTCAATATAGAGAGCAAAGAAATTCTGTGCTTCATCTATACCTTCCTTCACTTTCCCTAGCTCTGTCTTCCAGATAATATGAAAAAAATTCTGAAAATTTATTTGTAAACATTTTAGAATGTACATGCATTTCAAAGATTAGGAATTTTCAGAAGATGTTTTCATGACAGTGATTTCTAGGTTCTTCTACAAGACATGACTTATAATGTACAATACATGTCAAATTAACTAATAATGCTTTGGTTTTCATTGTAGAATCCCAGTGTTTACACCATTTGATGTAGTACGATATTTAGCTCTACCATATTAGTGTAGCTTTGACATTTCAGATCCTAAGTAAACATATCACAAAGTGACTTTTCCAGCTCACCTTTATAGACTTACCACAATCAATGCACTCAAAATCCTCATTGTCTTTCCTTTTCCCAAGCTTGTCCATTAACTTTCATACCTTTTATCTTCAGGGCCTTTGTCTTTCTTACTGGTTTTGCTTTTTCACAACTTAAGAGTGTAAAAGAAGGCCCTCAGCCAGCCTGACCAAAATCATGACATAGGATCTAGTAACCAAAGTTTCCATGGAGGATTACCCCTCTTTTTAGGGCCCGTCTACTATGGTTGATCTTTAAAAGCTTACTCATGTAACAATATTTACTTAAAATGAAATCAGTTAATGAAAACATTGGGATTGTTTTGATAAAAATGAAAATTGAGGGTTTATTTGTCAATTGTAGTCCAATAGTTTTATCATGTAATTTATTTCTGTATCTTATTTTGATTGCATAGTATCAAGAAATTGTAAGTCAGAAAACAGGTTCAAATTGTTTTATAACAGCTTATGTTTTATTCCCAGTTGTTGCTAGATGCCATCACGTTGGTTCCCACTCATAGTGACCACTCGTAGTGTACAACAGAACAACACACTGCTCAGTCCTGTACCATCCTCACAATCATTGCTATGTTTGAGCCCATTGTTGCCTCCACTGTTCTGTCCATCTCATTGAGAGTCTTCCTGTTTTAATCCCAGTATATTCAGTTTAACTGAGATGGTGAGAGCGACCTTAGTCCAACACGTACACAAAAACAAGTTTGAAAGTTCATATTAACTCATTGGTGGTCTCTAGCATATTACAGTTTTACAGATAATATATCTACATGATATCTGGTTTTTAAAGGCATCCCTGTGTTTCCTATACAGTATCTGTTTCTTCTGAGTTCCTTTATTCTGTTGGTTTCTTTTGCTCTATATCTTACATGTTGGGGGCCTTTCTAATTTGTGGATTGCATACTATCAGTGTAGGACTGATTAGATATTCTGAGTATACAGGGCAGGAATTGCGTAATGCTAATTATGCAGCCACTACTCGTCTGTCAGTTTGTGACTGTGGTGCCTTGTATGTTGCTATGATGCTGGAGGCTATGCCACCGGTATTTGAAATACCTGGAGGATCACCCATGGTGGACAGGTTTCAGTGGAGCTTCCAGACTAAGACAGACTCAAAAAAAGGAAGGAACAATCTGCTTCTCAAAGAACTGGACAGTGAAAACCTTATGAATAAAAGTGAAACACTGTCTGAAACAATATATTACCTAAAAACATTGTTTGATATAGTGTTGGAAGATGAGTCCCTAGGATTGGAAGGCACTAAAAATACAAATAGGGAAGAGCCGTTTCCTCAAAGTAGAGTCGACCTTAATGATGTGGATGGAGTAAAGCTGTCAGACCTCCGTTTACTGATGGTGCACAACCCAAAAAAGGAAGAAACAGCTGTAAACATCCGTTAATAATCAGAACATGGAATGTACAAAGAATCAGTCTAGGAAAACTAGAAGTTGTAAAAAAGGAAATGGAACACATAAAGATTGATATCTGGGTTAGGTTGAGTTCCCTAGAGAAGCAAAACCAGTAAAGCTTATATATACCTATAGAGAAAGAGAAATTTATGTTAGGAAAATGGCTCACACACTTACAGAAGCTGGCAGGTCCCAAGTTCTTGGATCAGATGTCAAGCTGGAGGCTTTTCCTGACTCATGCAGCTGCAGGGGCTGACAAGCTCAAGGTTGGCAGGTAGTATACTAGCTGTTGACACCAATGAATGACAAATCCAAGATCTCCAGGCTGAACGGTGGATTGTTCACTCACGGACAGTTGTAGACAGCACAACAGAATCCCGATCCTCAGAAAGTGTCTTTTTTTCCCAGGATGTCCATAAATATATTGGAAGCAGGCCACACCCCTAGGGAAACTCCCTTTCAGTGGATTGGCTGCTCAAAACATATACATCCAATCCCATCGTGGGAATAACCCACATCACAATTGCTTAAACCACACAGAATTGTGGTCCAGCGAAGTTCACACACAGCTCCAACTATCACAATATCCTAGGCATAGTGAGCAGAAATGGATTGGTTTGGGCCATTTTGAATTATACAACCATATGATCTACTATGCTGGGAATGACATACTGAAGATGAATGGTGTTGCATTCATCATCACAAAGAATGTTTTAAGATCTGAAGTACAGTGCTGTCAGTGTGTGGTGTAGTAAACTACACACTGTGGCTTTTCTAGCCATAAGTCTTTGTAAACTCTGTGGTGGAATTTGCTGTGAGCAACTGAATAGCTCCTCATTGTTAAAGTTATTCACCTGGGGTGTTTCTCTTGGGAGCATCACAAAGTAATTTTCTGAGAAGTTCGCTGTCTCTCAGGTGTGTAGAACTTTTATGTTGGGATTGGTTGGTTTGGGTCACTCTGCCAGGCTTAAAAGGAGCCCTCTTAGAGCCAGAAGGAGTCTCTCTGACTGCTGGCTGGGAAAGACATGCTGCTGAGAGAAACACACTCCTGAGAGACATGAGATACGCACACTGCTGAGAGAGATACGAGAGACATACACTGCTGAGAGAGCAATGTGCTACTGAGACTGCCAGCTGCTGAGTGAGTTGGCCAGCTGTGAGAGACAGTGCATTTCTGAACTTGAATTATAGCCTGTTGCCTCCCTAATAAACCCCTAATCTGTGAGTTCTTTGTGGCCACTGCAGCAAATTGTTGAACACAGCAAAGAGGTGGTGGGTGCTGCAGGAGGAATGGATGGTGAGAGGGCTGGAGGGAGGCAGCATGTCTGGCCTCGAGGGAATAGGCTTTGGTGATTCTATCTTCCTCTTGTGGGGTTAGAGGAGGTCAGAAGATGTGGTCTTCTTGCCCCCTTGGCACAGTGATAAGGAAAATATCCATATGCCTACAAGGAAGACCAGTTAATATGATTATTCAAATTTATGCACCAGCCACTAAAGCCGAACATGAGGAAATTGAAGACTTTCACCAACTTCTGCAGTCTGAAATTGTCCAAACATGCAATCAAGATGTATTGATTATTACTAGTGATTGGTAGGAGCTCTGGTGGTGCAGTGCCTAAGTCATTTGACTGCTGATCAGAGGGTTGGTGGTTCAGACCTACCAGCTACTCCGCAGAAGGAAGACCAGGCAATCTACTTCTGTAAAGATTTACTGCCTCAGAAACCCAGTAGGGGATGCTGTGAGTCAGAGTGGACTCAGTGGCAGTAGGATTTTTTGTTTTTGTTTTTCGGTTTGGTGATTGGAATGTGAAAATTGGAAGTAAAGAAGAACATTGGTAATTGGAAAATACAGCCTTAGTAATAGAAATGACACTGGAAATCACATGATGGAATTTTGCAAGACCAATGACTTATTCATTGCAAATACCTTTTTTAAACACTATACCCGTGGACCTCACCAGATGGAATACACAGGAATCAGATCGGCTACATCTGTGGAAAGAGGCAATGGAGAATCTAAGTATCTTCAGTCAAAGCAAGGCCAGGAGCTGACTGTGGAAGCTGAAGACAATTAAAAACAAGTCCACAAGAGCCAAAATATGACCTTCATTATATCCCACCTGAATTTAGAGACCACCTGAAGAATAGATTTGATGCACTGAATACCAGTGACCGAAAATCAGGCAAAAAAGTGATGGTGAGAAATGGGTTAGCCAAAATTTAATAGCTTGTAGGATGTCTACAACCTACAGATAAAACTACCTTGTAATTATTTTATTAGTATACAGTTTCACTTCAGTCACTGAAACAAAAGACCAAACTGATGAAGATTGAAGAATACAGTTTGTTGTATGGATTAAATCTCAATATAAAGAAGACAAAAATCCTTACAATTGGACCTATAAGCAGCATCATGCTAAATGGAGAAAAGATTGAAGTTGCAAAGACTTCACATTGCTTGGTTCAGTCAGCACCAGTGGAAGCAGCAGTTAGGACATCAGATGACATATAGCACTGAGCACGTCAACTGTACGGGACTTCTTTCAGCAGCTGAGGAGCAAAGACGTCTGCTTGAGAACTAAGGTGTGCCTGACACAAGCCATGATGTTTTCAGTCACCTCATATGCATGTGAGAGTTGGACAATGAATAAGGAAGACTGAAGAAGAATTGATGCTTTTGAGTTGTGCTGGCAAAGAATGCTGAAAGTACCATGGACTGCTAAAAGAACTAACAAATCTGTCCTGGAGGAACTGCAGCTGGAATGTTCCTTGGAAGCGAGAGTGGCCAGACTTCATCTCACCTACTTTGGTCATGTTATCAGAAGGGACCATTTTCTGGATAAGGATGTTATGGTTGGTAAGGTAGAGGGTCAACAAAAGAGAGGAAGGCCCTCAATGAGATGGATTGACACAGTGGCTGCAGTGACGGGCTCAAGTATAGCAGGGATCATGGAGCTGGCACAGGCCAGGTGGTGTTATGTTTTGCTTTATATAGGGTTGCTATGGGAGCTCTGGTAGCATAGTGGCTAAGACACTTGCCTGCTAACCAGATGGCTGGCGGTTCAAACCCACCAGCCACTCCTCGGAAGGAAGGTTGGGCAATCCTACTTCCGTAGTGATAACTGCCTCGGAAACCCAAGGAGGGGTCGCTATGAGTCGGGGCCGACTCGACGGCACATAACAACAACAACATGAGTTGGAAACAACTCAACAGTACCTAACAACAATAATCAAGAACATCATCCATGAAGAAAGCAAAAGGTCTTTAAAGAGACAGGAAAGAAAGAAAAGACGAAAATGGATGCCAGAAGACATTCTGAAACTTGCCCTTGAGTGGAGAATAGCTAAAGCAAATGGAAGAAATGACAAGATAAAAGAGCTGATAGAAGATTTCAAAGAGCAGCTCGAGAAGACAGAGTCAATTATAATGAAATGTGCAAAGACCTGGAGTTAGAAAACCAAAAGCGAAGAACATGTTTGGCATTTCTCAAGGTGAAAGAGCTGAAGAAAAAATTAAAGCCTTGAGTTGCAGTACTGAGAGATTCTATGGGCAAAATATTGAATGATGCAGGAAGCATCAAAAGAAGAGGGATGGAATACACAGAGTCACTGCACCAAAAAGAATTGGTTGATGTTCATCCATTTCAGAAGATGGCATATGATCAAGAACCAGTGATATTGAAAAAAGTTGACGCTGCACTGAAAGAACTGGCAAAAACAAGGCTTCAGGAATTGACAAAATACCCATTGAGATGTTTCATCAAATGGATGCTGCACTGGAGGCACTTACTCATCTATGCCAAGAAATTTGAAAGACAGCTACATGGCCAGCTGACTGGAAGAGATCCATATTTGTACCCATTCCAAAGAAAGGTGACCCAACAGAATGTGGAAATTATCAAACAATATAATTAATATCACACGCAAGTAAATTTTGCTGAAGATAATTAAAAAATGGTTGCAGTAGTAAATTGACAGGAAACTTCCAAAAGTGGAAGCTGGATTCAGAAGAGGATGTGGAATGAGGGATAGTATTGCAGATGTCAGAGGGATCTTGACTGAAAGCAAAGAATGCCAGAAAGATGTTTACTTGTGTTTTATTGACTGTGCAAAAGCATTTGACTGTGAGGATCATAACAAATTTGGATAACATTGAGAAGAATGGTAATTCCAGAACACTTATTTGTGCTCTTAAGAACCTGTAAATAGATCAGAAGGCTATTGTTTGAATAGAACAAGGGGGTAGTGCATGGTTTAAAATCAGAAAGGGTGTGTCTCGGGGTTGTATCCTTTCATCATACTTATTCAATCTGTTTGCTGGGCACATAATCTGAGAAGATGGACTATATAATAAGGAAGTACACTTCATCAAGACTGGAGGAAGATTCATTAGCAATCTGCAATATGCAGACTACATAACCTTACTTGCTGAAAGTGAAGATGACATGAAGCACTTCCTGATGACAATTAAAGACTATAGTCTGCAGTATGGATTATATCTCAACATAAAGAAAACAAAAATCCTCATGACCGGACGGACCAATGTGCAGCATTGTGATAAATGGAGAAAAGATTGAAGCTGTCAAAAGATGTCATACTACTTCGATCCACAATCAACACCAATGGAAACAGCAGTCAAGAAATCAGATGTTATATTGCAAATCTGGTGCATAAGACCTCTTTAAAGTGTTTGCTGAAGGGGTAAGGAGGTCACATCTTCTGACCACCTCTAACCCCACAAGAGGAAGACAGAATCACCATCAATTCCTGTGAGGCCAGATATGCTGCCTCCATCTATCCCTTTCATCAGCCCTGACACCAACCGTTCCTCCCGCAGCACCCACCACCTTTCTACTGGGTTTGATAATTCGCTGCAGTGGCCACACAGAACTCACAGATTATGGGGTTTATTAGGGAAGCACTAGGCTACAATTCAAGTTCAGGAACAACACTCAGTCTCTCTCAGTCTCTTCCCACAGTGTGTGTCTCTCAGTGTTTCTTTCTCAGCAGCACGTCTCTCGGTGTCTATTTCTCAGCAGAGCATGTCTCTCAGGAGTACTTTTCTCTCAGCAGCACATCCTTCTCAGCCAGCAGTCAGAGAGACTCCTGCTTCTAAAAGGACTCCTTTTTTTTTTTTTTAATAATTTAAATTGTGATTTGGGTGAAAGTTTACAGAGTAAATTCACTTTCCATACAGCAATTCACATACATACTGTCTGATGACATTGACAGTTTACCCCAATGCAACACCTCCCCTCCCACTTCCTCCTGATAATTACCTCTTCCCTGTGTCCATCCCTCCATGTGCTCCTGCCCCCTGAACTGTCTCCCTGTGCATAAACAGCCTAGAAGGGCTCTTTTTGAGGCTGAACCAACTAATCCCAACATCAGAATTCTATACACCTGAGAGAGAGCAAACTTCCCAGAAAATTACTTTTTATGCTGCTCCCAACAGAAAGCAGATTGTTAAAGTGGATGACTTTAACAATCAGGAGCTACTCAGTTTCTCACAGCAGGTTCCACCATGGAGTTTACAAGACTTACAGTTAGAAAAGCCATACCAGGTAATTTACTACACCACAATGTTAAAGAGCAAAGATGTCAGTTTGAAGACTAAGGTGTGCCTAACACAAGCCATGGTATTTTCAATAGCCTCATATGCATGTGAAAACTTGGAAATGAATAAGGAAGACCGAATAAGAGTTACTGCTTTTGCATTGTGTTGTTGGCGAAAAATAGTGAAAGTAGCATGGACCGCCAGAAGAAGGAACAAATCTGTCCAGGAAGAAGTATACCTGAAATGCTCCTTGGAAGCGAGATTGGTCCGACTTCCTCTCATCTACTTTGGTCATGATGTCAGAAGGGACCATTCCCTGGCAAATGTTATCATGTTTGGTAAAGTGGAGGGTCAACAAAAAGGGGAAGACCCTCAAGGGGCTGCAATGATGGGTTCTGGTATAGCAAGTATTGTAAGGATGGCTCACAATCAGGCAGTGTTTCATTCTGTTGTACATAGGGTCACCATGAGTTGGAGCCAACAGCACCTAACAATAACAGCAACAATTATGCAGCACGTTAGGTATTTGGGGAAAACTCCATATTGGTATCTGAAGCCTTTTCATAGGGAGCTGTGTGATTTTCCAGAGATACTCCATTCCCTCTACGTTGGTTGTGTATATTCCTGTACTGGCATTCTAGGACCTGGAGGTGGGGCAGGGTGAAGTGAGAAATGCTGAGGTCTCACTGTTAAGTGTGTACACTTTCACTTAAGTACTCCATTTTCTACTAGAAACTCATCTAACATTCCATCGTGTCTGGGGTCCCTGAGTTCAGACCTTTCTGGTTATATTTCACTGAGGAGTAGTTTGCTGACTCCTGTGGGGATTGAAGAGGGGTGGTGCCCTCCTGTGTGAGTTGGGTTTGGGTATCTAGCCATCTCTTTACATAGACTTCCATCTAATGCTTTTTTGGGGTATCAGGGCCTCTGGTTTCTAAGATTTTCTGTATTTTGCGGGGGTAGAAGTGTTGTCAAATAGCTTGCTTTTCATTAGTATTCCCATCTGTAGGCCACTAGATTTCATTTTACACCTCTTTGCTTCATCAGTTAATCACTTTTTTCTGTCCTTTCTATCATCGAGATATTTATAGATATCTCTCCTTCTCTTTGTCTTTGCAGGTTTATGTCTTTTTAATTCCTTTATTCTAATTTTAATGAGATTTTAAAAAGAATAGAGCTAAACATTAAATACCTATGTTAAATCTGAACACTGTATTTAACTGAAGTTCCTGTAAAGATTGTCCAGTTTTAAAATATCGTTAATTGTTCATTTTCATTTATGCAGAGCTGGCAGAGCTGCCTTTGATACGGTTAGACTTCTCCTGCAATAAAATTACAACAATTCCAGTTTGTTACCGGAACCTCAGGCATCTACAGATGATCACCCTAGATAACAATCCACTACAGTCTCCTCCTGCACAGGTAAACTACAGTTGAATTTGGAGTGTTACAAATTTTTTTGGCTGGAGGATCAAATTTAAAATTTAATTTTACATGCATTTAACTTGCTGTTGGAAAGTAAATTCTTTTAAAATAAATTCATACACGTGTATTCTTTAGAGATCTTAAACAAATAGGGTGGAAGATAAAAGAGATTTCTAGAAGTCTTCCTTTCACTAAATTGGCAATTTTTTAGCTGAGAAATTCTTCCGTAAGTTTTTTCTAGTAATATTTGAGTTAATTTATTTCCTGATTTTTTTTGTATGTGGTAAAGCTAGAAGGCTGGCGGTTCAAACCCACCAGCCACTCCTCGGAAGGAAGGTTGGGCAATCCTACTTCCATAGTGATACTGCCTCGGAAAC